CGTCGAAGCCGCCAGCCCTGCCGTGGCACGACCTGGACGCGTGCCACGGACGTGCTCTGTGACCTTGGCTCTGGCTGGGCGGTGGTTCTCGCTGAGCCTCAGTTTCCTTTTCTGCAGAAAGGCAGCGGTAATGCCGCCTTTCTCAGGGAAGCCATTCTTGCGACACATTTATAGAACGCCTACTGTGTGCCAGGGCCTGCTGCTCCAGGGCCCTGTGGTGGGGGCGGGGGTGGGGGGTCCCTGCTCTGGTGGTGGTGCCCGGAGACAGACAGAGACAAATTAACAAGCTGAATTCCCGGCAGGTCAGATGGTGGGGACCGTTCTGCAGAAAAACCAGCCGGGAGGATGGCAGGGTAGGAAGGTGCAAAGTTAAACAGGTGGCAGGGAGGATCAGAGACAGCTTCCTCCGCCCCTAAAACGACCCAAAGAAGGGGAGAGAACAGGGGGATGGGGTACAGAGGTAGTCAGAGGCAGGACCAGCAGGTGTAAAAGCCCTGGGACAGGACTGTGCCTGGCATCAGGGTGCCAGGGCGGAGGTCAGGAAGGCCAGAGGGAGGCAGGGCCTGGGGCTTCATGCATTTGCCCAGGCCGCCCCCCTCCTCAGCAGGGCTTGTGCTTGGGTTAATATTTACTGCCGCATTTTGAGATTCCTAATCATTTTTGAACAAGGGGCCTTTCAGTTTTCTTTTGCACTGGGCCCTGCTAACTCTGTAGCTGGTGAAGCAGACCACTCCAGCAAGGACTTGTGGGCCATGGGGAGGACTTGGGTTTTTGGCTGAGTGAAGTGGGAGCCCTGGAAGGCTGTGGGAGAAGGAGGGACGGGACCTGGTGGTTTGTTTTTTGTTTGCTTTTGAGACGGAGTTTCACTCTTGTTGCCCAGGCTGGAATGCAATGGCACAATCCCAGCTCGCTACATCCTCTGCCTCCCGTGTTCAAGTGATTCTCCTGCCTCAGCCTCCCGAGTAGCTGGGATTACAGGCACGTGCTACCACGCCCAGCTAATTTTGTATTTTTAGTAGAGACGAGAGTTCTCCATGTCGGTCAGGCTGGTCTTGAACTCCCGACCTCAGGTGATCCACCTGCCTCAGCCTCCCAAAGTGCTGGGATTACAGGCGTGAGCTACCTTGCCCAGCTGTTTGTTTTTGAGATGGAGTCTCACTCTGTTGCCCAGGCTGGAGTGCAGTGACGTGATCTTGGCTCACTGCAGCCTCCGCCTCCCGGGTTCAAGTGATTCTCCTGCCTCAACCTCTCGTGTAGCTGGGATTACAGGTGCGTACCACCATGCCTGGCTAATTTTTGTATGTTTAGTAGAGATGGGTTTCACTATGTTGGCCAGGCTGATCTTGAAATCCTGACATTGGGTGATCCTCCCGCCTCTACCTCCCAGAGTGCAGGGATTACAGGTGTGAGCCACCGCACCTGGCTTTAGACTTGCGCTTTTGCTCTGAGTGAGGTGGGAATCCTGGAGAGCCGTGGGAAGAGGAGGAATGGGACCTGGTGGCGGTTATGAAAGTATCCCTCTTTCTGCCATTCAGAGAACAGGCCCCAAAGAGGCCATTGAAATAAGGCTGTTCCTTTAAGGTCCTCCTTTGGCACGTGCTGAGCACACAGTCTTTTCATCATCGTCATCCACTAAGCAGCCTGCTCCCTTGGATGAATGCAACTGATTTGGGCCTTGGGTGTTCCCATCTGTAAAATGGACCCGGAACCCCAGCCTCCTTACCTTGGCAAGTAAGGGTGAGAGCCCTCAGTGTTCAAGATTAATAATCTTTAAAGCAGTGTTTTAATATTTTTATTAAATTTTTTTTTTTTTTTTTGAGACAGCGTCTCACTCTGTGGCCCAGGCTGGAGTCCAGTGGCGCCACCTGGACTCATTACAAGCTCCGCCTCCCGGGTTCACGCCATTCTCCTGCCTCAGCCTCCTGAGCAGCTGGAACTACAGGCATGAGCCACCACTCCTGGCCTAAAAAATTTTTTTAGAGACAGTCTTCTGTTGCACAGGCTGGAGTGCAGTGGTGCAATCAGCTCTCTGTAGCCTCCCACTCCTGGGTTCAAGTGATCCTCCCACCTCAGCCTCCTGAGTAGCTGGGACTACAGGAGTGCACCAGCATGCCCAGGTAATTTTAAAATTTTTTGTAGGCCAGGAGCCGTGGCTCATGCCTGTAATCCCAGCACCTTGGGAAGCCGAGGCCGGTGAATTACAAGGTCAGGAGTTCGAGACCAGCCTGGCCAACATGGTGAAACCCCGTCTCTACTACAATTACAAAAATTACTAGCGTGTTTTGCCGTGCACCTCTAACTTCAGCTACTTGGAGGCTGAGGCATAAGAATCACTGGAAGCTGGGAGGTGGAGGTTGCAGTGAGCCAAGATCGTGCCACTGTACTCCAGCCTGAGTGACAAGAGTGAGACTCTGTCTCAAAAAACAAAAACAAAAACAAAAAAACCCAAAAAGATTAGGATTAGGAAAGAAGGAAAGAAAAACTAGGATTTTGTATTTTTAAGATTACTGCTACTTGGTGGCCGGGTGCGGTGGCTAGCGCCTGTAATCCCCACACTTTGGGAAGCCGAGACGGGCAGATCACCTGAGGTCAGGAGTTCGAGACCAGCCTGACCAACATGGAGAAACCCCGTCTCTACTAAAAATACAAAATTTGCCGGGCGTGGTGGCAGACGCCTATAATCTCAGCCACTTGGGAGGCTGAGGCAGGAGAATTGCTTGAACCCGGGAGGTGGAGGTTGTGGTGAGCCAAGATGGTGCCATTGCACTCCAGCCTGGGCGACAAGAGCGAAACTCTGTCTCAAAAACAAGAAAGAAAGAAAAAAAAGAAACAAAGATTAATGCTACTTGGTAACAGCCAAGCCTTCAACCAACCGCAACGCCCTTCTTTTTCAAGCAGGACCCTGAGAGACTGCGTTCCTAGAATGCCCTTGAATCCAGTCCTGCTGCTAGCACCCCTGCCACCCCACCCCCACCGCCGTGGGGACCAGACACCCCCTCTCCTGGGAGGCCACCTGCCAGTGTTTATTTAGGCAGGCGCCTTCCGGTATCAGTGCGCCCGGTGACCAAACACTCCCATTTTCAAAGCCCCCACACTGTCGGGGGAAGCAGAGCTGGACATAGATAGCTTGAGCACGGTGAGGTCAGGGCTGGGCCGCCCAGAGGGACCTAGGCCTGTGAAGGAGAGAGTCATTGTGAAATCATTGTTTTT